CTTATAAGTAACAGTGGAATTTCTCATATTTGTTAAAGAATAGTGTTAATAATTAATTTTAACTGTCTGTACCCATAGAGACTTAAATGTTCATTTAAAATTAGGAATTTGTTTTCATGTTGGTATATTAAACTAAATGTTTTATGGACATTAAGGAATGTAATGATTTGTTGGTTTGAGGACTCGTGTGACGCCCTAGAGAATAGGCAATAGCGTTTCGAAGTCGCGAAAGGGAACGTTAAATTCTGAAGGGAACAAAATGTAATCTCATGAGCGTACAGATAATATACAGATAGTATACGGATACAGATAGTATACGCGTTTAAAACCTTCCAAATCGTATAACACTCATTAATTATGTATTGATACATGACTGTTTCGCATCCTTCCTAATATCAGCAACATTTTTCAAAGCTACTTTAGTTTCTTATGTCTTCGGTATACTTTTTGTGTGCCTTACAATCTATTTTAAATAGACGGTACGGTCTGAGGAAGTTTTCATATAATTTTTTTCTGTAAATTATTGAATATTGAGACCTTTTTAGAAACTGTAGATGTTTTAATGAAGATATGAATCGGACAATGTTAAACATTATTATTATTGGCTATGTGTCCTGAAGTCTTATCTTCTCGGATTCAAATTTTAACACATTGTCATATTTTCGTTTCAATATTTTAATTTAATATCATTTTAATATACCTACAAAACTGATTAACATGTGACTTTATATTATTCTATGTAGAACTTATCAAATGAACTCTCCGTTATACCATGTAGAAGCGAATGAAGCCGTTTGAACTGCTTAATATTTTCTGAGCATGGAAACATTATGGAAAGAAAAGTATAACCGCGGAAGAAAATTTTAACAGAATAAATAAGAAATCACAACTGATTAAGTATAAGCGGTTTTTCAGCTTTACATTTTTTACTTCTCGTATTTTCAATAAATTTTAAATACTTCTTGACAAAAAAAATCTTGAAGACGAAATCGATTACCTACTTTATTTCTCTTAAATCACCGGCATATACTACCGGATATATGACTGTATACGGAGGGTAATGGACGTATCAATAATAATAATAATAATAATCTTTCCATTACATGGACGGACGCATGGCGAAATATAATTTACAATATTCCAATGCAGTCGTGAAACCGATAACTCTGTCAACCGAAAAGGTATCCGCATCGCATTAATGCCAATGAAGCAATGCAGGTATCCAAAGCCTGTGATGGTATGATATATTGAAACGCATTTTATCGTTAATATGTAACGTTTATGTGACTTACTGTTAAAAAGTGAGATAAAATGCGACGATACGTTCCGTCTTTCCACGCTCTAGTGTTTTGTATGAAGAGTCGTTCATTTACATTTGTTTTCGTATTTTTTTAGAAAGCGTCGACGTGGTAATCTCTTTTCCAGAAAGTATTATTAATCCATTGTAGATAATGTATTACATACATGTTACACGGTTTATTTATGTATTTTTTATAATTTGTTCATTTATTGACATCGTCGGATACAGATTATCACCGATCAAGTAGTGAAATTAAGACCTGCACATTACTTGTCACACGTAATATGACGGATACATTTTCTGGCCAAACGGGTTCGATTAGGTTCGATTCAATTCACAACCCATCATCATTCTGGTGATTGAAGGTATCTCCATTATTCGCTATAGCAGTCAAGACTAGTCGCCAAGCTTTTCCGCTCCTAGATAGGTTACCGTGTTGACTTCGTGCCCAGTGAGTTATGTTTACGGTTTTTAAATGTTTTTATACTATCAGAAGTAGGTAATTCCTATTATCTATTGTTTCCTAACAGTCCTTGACCGTTTATGATATTCTTACGGGTTCGAAGAAAATGGTAACGAGGTTTAGTTGGTGTTTTGCCTTGTTTATGTCTCGACTCCTTTCGTTTCGGCAGTGGTGCGAAGTTTTTCGTTTCTAATACTACTGCTAGGGCTAGTTTTATAGCTAGTTTTTTAAATACGCCTACTAAAAAATGGCCCACTGCTAGGCAAAGACCTGGTCTGTGCAAAGGCTAATAGGGAATCAGGAATAGTCATCCGCGAGGTCACACTGCCTATTGGCGCACTTCACATATCTTCGAAATATTTTTATTCGTTACTATTTCGAAAAAATGTAGATTTCCTCACGATGTTCTCCTTCGTCGCTGAGCACGTGATAACTCAGCAGTTAAATTTAACAAATTCATTGGTGCCCGCATCAGGGTCTGAACTTAGCTAAGTTGTTAGCTCGAGGTTTTTGAATATAAAGCGACCGTTCGAACAATGAGCTATCACGGCTCGCTAGGAAGGGGGTGATTAACGGGAAACCGGTAGCCCGATTGGGAGCTATTACCACCCATTGGTTTATAACGTTCGACACTAGGACTAGTCGCATAAGCTGATGCAAATATTTTGAAACACAAGATGCATCACCCCCTTCTCGGCAAATTGTATATTTTTATCTTTTAATGCTATAATCTATAATCTTTAATGCTATAATGCAGGCGTATGATCATACCAAAAACCTTCGTTGGAGTCTGATTATGAAATTCAACAGTCAACAGCCGGACACATTCTGAAATATAGTGGCGCTTTGACAAATGTATCTCGGGCGTTAAACTCGTTGCTGTTTCACGTATGCGAAAAGCGCATTTATGATGCATACTTTGTGGAAAATAAATTTGGATAAACTACAAAGTATAAATCAAAAGCGTGTTCAATTGGTTTGACTGGGATTTAAAAATTATTACACTTTTTTTTAAAGTGTAATGATTATGACTTTGAATCGAATTTTACAAATCTCCCTCTCTCTCTCTCTCTCTCTCTTTCTTTCGCTCTATTTATCTATTATGCATCGTTCATTTGAACCGCGATAAAATTGTCGTTTCTAAGGTAGTGTTTAATAATTCATATGAGTTGAGTATATTTATGCTTGGCTAATTACCTCTATCCTAAAGACCTCCTTGACGCCATTTATTATACTGATACTTTTTGGCGTTTATATACGTCAAGTAAATTTTTGGTTGATTTCATGCAACACTTGCAAGCTGATAATTCTTGTTGTTTCTATTTTACTAAAGTTTTATCGCTTCAGTGTTCATATCGGTAACTTATTGGATTTCGAAGCGGTTTAACTTTGAATAACTATTAAAGCAAGGGGAAACTTGTGCGGCTCATCGAACACGATAGTGAAATATCTATCGTCTTTACACAACTGTTTGGATTCATGGAAATTTTCTATTCTTATTCTTATGAATAAAATTAGAAATTTAAGGATATTGTAAAATTGAACCGTTGCAGATGGTAAATGACGTGAAAGAATAAGAAAAGTCAGTTTAATTTCATTTTAATTTTTATTCCCTCTATATTTTCTTGCGCAAAATAATAATGTTAAAAATGGCGCAAAACATCATTTCAGTTTTTACAATAGTTTTTGACTTTCTTGAATGTTTTATAACAAACATCTTCTTTCGTTCTTTATACAATTTGTAAGTTTTAGTGCGCCTATCCGAATGCGATTTCTGCGTAGAAATATCTTGATAGAGTACGATGATGCTTAGCTATTTATGCAATGATGAAGTATAAATCTCTCTTCTTATTTAAATGTATACATATGTGGCTTTGCAACGAAAGTTTAGGAGATTGATTTTAGTGAATAACTCAGCACAGCACACTTTCATTGTGGCAACTGAGCTAATATCATGTTATGACATTTAGGGTTTAACTCATAATACTTATGCTACCTAATTAATTACTAGTGGTATGCTTTCTCTTTAATCTTCGCTCTTTCGATATGTTGAAAATTTTCTTCAGATTGTTACTCTTATATTGTTATTTTTTCATGTTCAATCGCTTTCGCGTTTTCAACTTATTCGATCCAGTATCTAATGTTGTTTTAAGTCAAGGTGAACAGGCAATTCTATGCACGATTTTTCAAGATCGGATCCGCTGTTGTTTACCCCCAAGATCGGTATTTGTTGAGATATTTTAACTTTAGTAGGAAAATAAGATCAAAGCACTTTAAATATAAGTCAAGTTTCATTCAAAGCTTTAAGTAATCTTCCTGAAGCATGAGTTGGTTTATAACTCTACCATTTATAGACGGTATTTACTGTGAGAGTATGATGATAAGATGTATCTTAGATACGTATTCTTTAAATATTCGCTTTGCAGCCTTTGGATCATTTTGTTCAAGGTAACTCTAAGGGGCACGCCTTTAATGTTTCTCTTTGATATTTTGTGAAGAATTACGTTGGATGTTTACGATATGATTCAGATCTATTCGCTAAATAAAAATGCGGTGTTTGTTAATAAGAAAATACTTTCGCATGGAGTAATAGAGTTGTCGCCAGCTCGAAAACAATCAATAAGAACGCTTCAACACACGCTAAGCAAAAAATAATTACCATCAACTTTAAAGCGAATGGTTGGTGTGAAAAGCATTAAGTTTTTCAAAGTTTTTAGTTCGTTATTTATCTCAATCTTGACAACTGCTCTTGATAACATCTCCATATCCATCGTAAGTATCTTCTTAAGTTTATAACATAGGTATTGGTTCCAAACGACGTCAAATGTCTAGTTGTTCTCCGTATTACTTATTCAGAAACGATGACTTTCTTCTCGTTCTCCAGTTGTTCCTCCTTTATTATTGCCTCCAATTTAGCGTTACTTCTGATTCGGCGTATTTAAAGAACTTGTTCCGCTGGAACGCTGCAACGCTAAGCCGCACGATGCCGCCAACCCGTCAGCTGCCGCGTTCTGTGATATTATTAATGAATGTTGAGCAAAACATGAGAATGGGGTGTCGTAGCGCACGTACCTTATGGTATTCTCTATGAACGATAACGTTGTAACGGCGTTCGGTTGTAAAACGAGTCCGAAAATCGCCCTTCCTCATCCACGTGCCTATTGCAATTAGCTGAAGTCCATCGCATGCATACAACGACCGTCCCCGATCGATATCCCGAACGCACTCGGCGCACACATGGAGAGACGCGCTAGTGCCGGCGGCGGCGGCGGTGCGGCGGTGCGGCGGTGCGGCGGAGCGGCGGAGCGACGGCGGGGCGTGAACGTAGTACGGTCGAGGCCGCCGAGCACGACCGCGACGTTCGCGCGTTTAATCCCACTCCAATTTCGGTCGATGCGATGTTGTACGGGACCCGCGCATGACTACAGTGAAATTGTGGACATCCTGGCGGTCGTCGGGACTGGCGTTGCGCGCAGCGTTACGCGCACGATCGATAGCGCGTGGCGCGCGCTGCGGCATACACAAAACCGTCCCCGCGCTCGTGGAAAGCGCGTGCCGCCCTTGCGATGACTATGTCATCGGACGTCGCCGTCGAGGAAGGCAAGGTCGCGGAGGCGCCGGAGACGGTGGGTGAGCGCACGCGCCCGCCTCCGCTTCCGCTATTCGCCGGCTAGTGTGAGCGCAGCCTGCATCGTAGTGGGGCGTCAAGGCCAATGGGCGGCGCCTGTGTTGACTTGCGCGCGCTTTAAACTATTTTAGAGTTTCAGTCCTGAAACTGCGTTGGAATAGTTTGCCCGCGAACACTACGTCGCTCGTGACGAGTTCCCGTGTTCTTGAAACTCTTACGACGCTTTGCGATTATTATAAACATATTGTAAATAAATGCGTTTTATAAATGCGAAGCATTATTTATGTAACTTAAGATTAAATTAAAGGATAGTTTATTACTATTTAAAAAATATCATAAATAAATTCAAATAAAAACAAATTTGTTTTTGGTACTGTTAGGTTGGTTTTAATTACCTTAAATAGCTTATTACGCACGACGGCATTCACACAGTGTGCAAAAACTGTGTACTTTTGATAATTGTTTGCTAATTGACCTTTCTAATTGTCGGCCATGTTTTGTGGAATTAAATAAATTAGAGCAATCAATTAGCATTATTTTTAACACAAACAACATTATTTTTCGATAAATTAAAAAAAATCCTACAACTTTAAAATTTTATTTCTATTCATTATATTAATTATATTAATTCTATTAATTCTATTCATTGTATAAATTTAATTTATTTTCATATATAACGGATCAAAAAAGTCCGAGAAAAGTATATGTAACTTATATGATAGACACATTGATTGCTTGCTTATCTGTTGTTGTCGCAAAAGATGACATAGAAGACGGTGGTTCAACTTTTGTCAATTGTAATCTATTTGTAATTCCTTAGACACGCAGGTTTGCTCGCCTTCTAATCCTTCATCGCCGGCGGATATTTAACTAGCACTTGAAGTTGCACAAGTTACAAGTTTACCAGTATGTTGCTGTTTGTTGTCACTAATTCACTAGCGACGTTCCTGGGAGCTGAACACAGGTTGCTCGAGAATAGCGAATTTTTGAATGCAAAACTATCACTCATTAAAATAATACACATTTAATAGTCGAGTGCTAAATAGAAATTGAATCGTATAAAATTCTTACATATCTAAATCGTGGGCAATAAATAAACCTTTAAACGTTTAGCGTGAAAATCCGGCTTAAGAAAGGTTTTTTAAAAAGCACGTGGAATGCGAGCCCGCACGCTTCTCACAATGCCAGTTAGAGTCACTTTGCAGTGAAACGTATAATGTCGTTTTACTATCTTTCTTTTGCCACTCAATGGATTAATGTTCCACTTTTCTCTATGTAGAAAAGGATCTACTGAGCTGCTACGTTCTTCCGTATTTGTCGAGGATGGTCTTTAGTGAGTTGAGTATTCACGATGAACATTAAATCAAGATCTACTAACTCGCTTTATCTGCAAAATCTTTGATGCAAATATTACAGTTCTTACTAGCATTAAAATTCTTTTGTTATATTCATAGTACCGGTAGATGGTGTGCTAAGGAAATGTAGATTGAGAAGATCGTTTACAAATGAAGAGAACCGGGAACGTTTTTTGCGGGAATCCAATTGTGAGTTTAAGATTGAAATTCAAACTGAGAGCTTTGGTTTTCAATATAATTCTCCCTACATTTCTGCTGCGCTGCATTGAAATAATACTAATAATTTACACATTCGAATGTAATACGTTTACAAATTTTGGCAGGTTCTAATATTGTCAAAATACATATAAGCGCCTCCGTATTAATTGTTCTACATTGACAAAAGGGGATCAAAACCTATTCATGCCGTGGGAAACTAGCCTCCTCTTATCATAATATAAGATAATTGGCCAACCTTTGATTAAGGCTCAATACATAGTTACATCGACTGTTTAGTTACTTTATCAGTTTAAAATATAAACTTTAGAACTGTCTTTTTCAACATATCAGTCCATTTGAGTCCACTGCTTAACGATCTACGTTCCCGATAGACAGCTACTGTTATAATGTTAACAAGATGTAATTATTTAACTAATTTATCATAACTAGAACATCTTAAATAACCTGAAGCATCTTTTTAATTCAAATAATACAACTTAGCACAACTATTTAAAAAAAGTAGGTACGCTAAGAATAAATACAACGCAATTAATAAACATTACACGTTATTACAAGTACCGCTTCAATTGTCGTTAAACATACTCCGTGCAGTGGTAATCTCCTTAAATTTAGCATTTAATTTACAAGTATAATTTGCAATTAACATGCAGACTCTGCTTGCAGGCTGCAAACATGTGTATATGTGTCGGTAACTAGGATAATTGCAGTTTCAAACAGCCCTCCACCAGCAACAACCGAGCAGTGTCGGGCGCATAATGTTCAATTTCACAGCATTACTACTTAAATAGTCACACGAGACATATTTACATGTCATATTACTGGAGATAAATGTATCAGTTCGTTTTGTTTTTACTTAATTATAGCTAGTTTAATATTGGAAAACGATTAAATGTTCAGTTTGTTAGCGTTAGTCGTGCCACCTGTTGCTGTTCATGAAATTCCATCATCGTCCTTTTGTTGTACCTGTTGTCGGCAACGGGTTGCCTGCTCTGAAATGCAGAGATGAACGCATTCAAATAAATAAAAGTTTTACTAAAGTCTTTCTATTTTATTTTCCTCTGACGTTTCTGTGTTTTCCGTCACTGCGTCTCAGAGACTTAGTTTTCCTGCGGGAGTATGGTCTTTTTTCTTGGTTTTTATAGACTTCGTATTATCACGGCCGTCTTCTGTCTCAGTGGGGTGAGGAGTATTTATCTATAACCGACTTAAAGGAATCTCAGATTCGTCCCAAGTAAGCAACAGCGGAAAGTGGATTGAACACATAAGACGTTTATAAATATACTAGCGACACGCCCCGGCTTCACACGGTTGCAATGAAAAATACATATAAAAACTAAATACACACACTACTACACATATAAACCTTCCTCTTGAATCACTCTATATAGTAAAAAAAACCGCGCAAAGAACCGTTGCGTAGTTTTAAAGTTCTAAGCATACGTAGGGACAAACAAACAGCGGGATGACTATGTTTTATACTATGTAGTGAAGAACTCAGGAATGCTGTCCTTAAATTTTAGTTGTAAAAGTATAAAAGTCAAAACACACGCCGATTTAAAAATGAAGCATCAAGCGCGTATGTGAATGAAAAATTGTCGGTAAGTGCGAACACATTTCAATTTAAATTGACTTTTACTATAACGTTTAACTTGAATCACTGCACCGCCTTGACCACGAAAACCACGATGAACTCCGCCTGCCACATTTCACAAGCGGTATGTGGCCAACGAGTTTACTTGTCTCGAATTCACCACTAAATGACGCCTATGACACAATTTTAATTATAATTTTCCTCGATTTTTTAATCAAATATCAGGTGTTCGCAGAATATTGGACGGGTAATAAAGTACAATGTCGTTGATCCAGTTCCAAATTATTAATGTCAGACTTTTTCAACGATTGTCAATGTATCTTCAACCCTCGGGTATTGCAGGTGAGCGGTGGTTATCTAAGTGATAACCACCGTTAAATGAACAATCCCTGATCTTTACCAACTTTTCCTGTGGAAAAAAAAACCTACGGAAGAAAATTTAAAAGGGAGACAAAATCGGTAAATAAAAAAATTCATGGATTTTATCACCTAAAAATTTTTTTTTTTTTTTTTTTATTTTACGAACACTGCGACGACCAGCAGAAAATTCTCAATTGATTATACGCTGGATATTAATCGTCGCGTAAATACTTCATCACTTTATCCTGAAAATAATTATAAGACAATAGCTCTCATAAAAGCGAGCTGTTTATTGAACGCAGCCAATAACGATCGTTATGGTTTCCGGTTAATTAGTACACTGCCCACAGTCGCGATACGGGCCCGCTGCCCTCGCGTAATACAGTTACGGGAGTCCCGAGCAAAGCGGCGAATTATTAAGGGAAGTCCGCTTTACGTTTCGTCAAGTTTTCACCATTATCACACCTAGATTCACCGACTTAAGAATATATTAACTCACATACAACATACTTTTAATGTATAACACGTAAATATGTACTTAATGGGCTGGCTCTTCCGGGTAAGCATCACGGCCTCACAGAAAATCAGCGTGAAGTGAAAGAATCATATTTTCACAATTCATATGGTGGGTGTGGTAAACGGGGACCCACTTTTTGGCAACCCCTCAGTTATTTTAGATGTCTATGGGCGGCAGTATTCACCTCACATTATGTGAACCACCTGCTCGCTTGACAAATAGCGGACACAACAAACGTGTTCTGTACACGCGATTTAAATCCGACAACTTATAAGTAAATGAATCTAAACCATTGTCGAATCGACCTGAAGACACACAAAAAATTTCATTAAAATCGGTCCAGCCGTTTAGGAGGAGTTCAGTGACATACACAAGTACAGATGAATTATAGACATAAAGATAAACGAAAGACACTGTTCCCTTACAAATAAATATACAATTAAATGTGTGTGTTCTTTTCATTTTTTTTTCAATGAAATTGATTTTATATCTGCTTAAGCAGCCTTAAGAAGACTATGGAGCAAAAATAAACGACGATAAAAAAATGTTAAACACAATATACGGCTGCGTAAGCTGTAACTTTAAAACACATTCCATTTTAAAGTAATCTGCAATAAAATTCGAGATACTCAATTTAATTATTATTCTATTAATCCGTAGATCTCTGTACGCAAATGTGTGGTAATATTCTCCAACAAAATATATTGTATTAATTCAGACGGAAATTTCATTTTAAAATGAAATCAACGCCAGTGCAGAGCGAAGCATTTTTGATATATGTTTGTTCTGCCAGGAATGTTTTGAAAATTCACGGTGAAAATATTTGAACTTCAAAAGACGAGAACACAGTGTAAAAAGGATTGGTTTTTTAACGGCTAAGTATACAATTTAACTCAA